GTGCAGCAACCAGTTACCGATCGTCGCCAGCGAGATGAGCTCCTCGCCCTTGCTGCAGCAAACACGCGCACATACCAGCGTCAGACGCGCGCGTGTGCTGTGGGTTGAGGAGTTGTGTACATGGAGCCTGCAAGTTTACCCAGGATGGGCGCCGAGTTGCGTTCGTTCTTCTTGCTGCGCGGGTCAGCAGCTTGGCGGGTCGCTCGGACCCAGCGTCCACCCGAGGAACACCTTCTTCACCCGGTGGCGGAACTTGACCAAAAACAGCCACCTGCCCAACACCCACGCCATCCGTGAACACAAACCACACACGACACACGACACACGACACACGACACACACGACACACGACACACGACACACGACACACGACACACGACACACGACACACGACACACACACACACAAGCCGGTACCGACGGAGTTCGTCGACGGAGAGCTTTTTGTTGCGGGCGTTGGGCATCCAGTCGATGTGGAACACGAGGAGCCCGCCGCCCATCGGATACAGCACCAGCTCCACGCACGGCACCCCGATCCTGAGCGACGTCGTCTTCGCATCCAGCGCCGACACCGTCGACGGTCCGCTGGGCGTGAATCTGTGATACACGACACACGACACACGACACACGACACACGACACACGACACACGACACACGACACACGACACACGACACACGACACACGACACACGACACACGACACACGACACACGACACACGACAGTCAAGCTGCTGGCCAGAGCCAGGGTGGGCGCCACGGCCGGCGATGCGCAGAGTGGATTGGACGCGCTGCTGGCCTTTGTGTTCATGTCCCCCGACAGGGAGGAGAAGACCCAAATGCTGCTCGATCGCTGCGGCCTCGATGCCTTGTTCAAGGTGCGCGCGGGGGCGCCCCATCGCGAGTCTGTTGTGCGGCCACACGAGTGATTGGTGACGGCGGTGCTGATGATCGATCATTGTGCACACGATCTAGGCCCTCGCCAACGAAAGCTCTGCTCTGAACGTGCTCACGGCGTTCAACTGCCTCACTCTCGGCGGTACCGAGCCCAAACCATCTCCCCAGTGTGTTCCGTGACAGTTCGCTGCTGATCTCACACGGCACACACCACACAGACGCACAGATCTATGAGCAGTCGGGGGTGCATCCGCCTACGTTCTCGCTGCCTCGCCCCAGTGCTGCTGCGATCCCGTGGTCGCCACCGCCACTGCCCCGCGCGCCGCTGCACTGGCGGCGGTCGCTCCGCCCGCCGCGGCGGCGGTGGCCGCTCCTGACCCGCGCATCCCGCGGCCCGTGCGTCGGAACATCACCCAGTCGGGCTGCTTCGCTCAGTGGCGAGCCGACCAGGCGCTCCACGACGTCGCCTTCCGCTTTCCAAGCGAGGTGCGTGCCCAGCGCGCCTTCACTCCACTGTCACTCTGATCTCACCGCACACACGACACACGCATCACCGCACACGCACACGCACGACACATGCATCACCGCACACGCACACACACGCACGACACACACATACCACCGCACGCGTCATTGCAGGGTGGGGTCACGGTGACGGCGCACAAGCTGCTGCTGGCGGGCAAGTCGGCCGTGTTCAAGGCCATGTTCACGTCGGGCATGCGCGAGGCCCGGCGAGGTGGTGCGGACGACGACGACTACAACAACGACGCCGACGGGCTTCCAGTGGTGGCCATCCCCAACATCGCGTCGCGCACCTTCCAGCTGCTGCTCGACTTCTGCTACGGCGTCCACCTGCTCGAGCCGCCGAGCCCTGTCGCCACGGGCACCACCGCCACGACGACGGCGCCCGACCCACAGAGGGCGATTTTGAACACGCTGGATGCGATGGCCGCGTGGCTGAGCCGCGCGGGCGCGAGCCTGGACGAGGTCGCTGCGCTTCTGGCCGCGGCTGGCCAGTACGAGATCCTCGATCTTGAGGACGGTTGCGCCCACTTCCTCGGTACGACCACTCACGACACGACACGACACGACACGACACGACACGACACGACACGACACGACACGACACGACACGACACGACACGACACACATCTGATCGCTGGAGAACAGGCGCCAGGCTGAGTGGATTGAACGTGATGGACATGCTGCGTCTCGGGCTGATGCACCGCTCGCCGATCCTCGTTTTCCGCTGCTTCGAGTTCGTGCTGGCCGACCCCTCCGTTGTGCTCCTCAAGCGCGCCGTCACCACGAAGTCGGCCAAAGTCGTGACCAGCAGGAAATCGCCATCGCGGGCTGCCGCCACACCTTCGACGCAGCCGACCACCGACGACGAGCAGGCCAAGAAGAACGAAGGCAAAGGCGAAGGCGACAACGAAGGAGAAGATGGTGGTGGTGGCGAAGACGATGACGAAGACGAGAGCGAGATGGAGATCGACGGCACGAGCCACGGCAACACCACCGACGAACCGGGGGCGCAGCACCAGCGGAGGAGCCGGTGACGATCCAGCGGTCCAGGTGGGCGTGGCGCCCCAAGGCGCGGCGGGTGCTCCTGGGGGACCCCGAGTGCCGGGCCATGCTGCGCGACTTTGTGCTGCGCGGCATGGCCGACGTCCCGCAGCTCGAGTTCGTGGGCGGCGGCGACGCCTCGGCCCCTCCCGCCGGCCCCGGCGTGGGCCTTCACGCCAAGGACTCCAAGAACTGCCTCCTCCAGTAAACATTAATAAATAAATATTTATAAATAATAATATTATAATAATATTTATGGAGTTGTGTTAATAACTCGCTCCCAGAATGAACCACCGACATTCGTTGATTACTAGTTTATGGACAAGAGAAGGAGAACAGCAGCCTTTGTACAAAGAGCCGAGAGAGAGTGATTGAGTGGTGGTGCTATTGTGGTGATCAGCACTGATGGGGCTGGACTGTTCGTTCGGGCAGGACGGCGTCGCCGTTGCCGTGAAGCGTCGCGCCGCCGCCGGTGCTCCGTCGCTTCTTCCGTCGCGTCGAGCTGATCGAGGTGGCCGCTGGCGTCGCTCCGTTCGCCGCCGAGGTCGACCTCGAACCGCTCCCTGTTGATGATGAAGACGATGAAGAGGAGGCGGATGAAGATGGTGATGATGAGACCTTCCCCGCGCTGCCGTTCCCATTGGCCTCGGGCGAAGCGCGATGCTCTCGTTCGCTCTTGTCCTTCTTGCCGTTGGCCTTGATGGCCGAGCTGCTCGCCAGCGCCGCCGACGTTGATGTTGGTGTTGTCGATGTTGCTGGTGTTGCTGGCGGGCCCGTGGTTGGTGCTGTTGTTGGCGCTGTTGATGCTGCTGTTGGCTTGTGGGCGTCGCCGCCCTTCTTCTGTCGCTTCGGACGCCCGCTGTTGCTCAGCAGGATCTCGCCCGCAGCCATGGCCGTCGCCGCCGCCGTTGACGACGACGGTGTCGTGGTGGTGGGTGAGGGACCGCCAGCAGCCGCCGTCATCGTCGTTGACTCTGACTCGCCACCGGCCGCGGCGTCGCTTTTCGTCGCCGGGCTCTCCGCCCGCTTTCGCTTCCGCGTGTAGTGGTGGTGTCCACCGCCGCCGGTGGTGGTGGTCTCTTTCTCATCACCCGCGGCCGCCGGCGTCGCCTCTGCAGTCCCGCCAAATTCGTGCTTGACGCCGCCGGTGCCCCATTCCGCGCCGGTCGCGGCGGTCGTGGTGGTGCTCGCGTTGACAGCAGCCTCCTTAAGTGCCAGTCGGGTGGTGAGCTCGCGGATGTCGTGTTCGAGGCGCTCGCGCGTGGCGTGCCACAGCTCGCGCTCGCGCTGGATGCGCCGCTGCTCCTCGCGCTCGCCGGCCGCCATGCGCCGACGCTGTTCGTCCAGCTCCGCGCGGTCGGCGTCGAGCCGCTGGTGCAGGGCCTCGCTCTTGGCCAGCAGCTCGCGCACGCGCGACTCGGCCTCGCGCACCGTGCGCTTCTTCTCGCCGATTCGCCGCCGCTTGCGGTCCATCGCCAGCTCCTCGCAGTCGAGCTTGCGCCGCTCGCGCTCGATCTCGTGCCACTCGCCCTGAATGGCGGCCCACTCGGTCTCGATCCGCTGCCGCTCGTCGTCGCGCCGCCGCCGCTCCTCCTCCTCGCGCTCCCACTCGCGGCGCTTCTCCTCGTTCTTCTTCCCGATCTCGTCGACGTGTCGGATGATGAGGGCCACCATCTCGTCCTCCTCCTCGAGCCGCTCCTGCTGCTCCTGATCGCCGTCGCCGTCGGCGTCATCGCGGTCCATCATCATCAGGCCCAGCTCGTCGTCCGGCTCCTGCTCGTCGTGGTCGTGGTCGAGCCAGTCGACGTCTTCGTCGTCGAGCCACTCCTCGCCGTCGTCGCTCAGATCGGCCCCGTCGTTTTGTTTTCGGAGCTTGGCCTTGCCGCCGCTCCGCCGCCGCCGCTCCTTCTTGCCCTTCTCCGGCTCCCAGTCGAACCCGGCCTTGTTGAGCATGTGGTACCGCTCCTTGCTCAGCTTCCCGTTCCGCCACAAATACCTGCCATCCAAAAATAAAATATATTATATAATAAGTTTAAATTAAAAACATATATAAATTTAAAAAACCAAAATAAACAAATTTAGGAAAGTAAGAGAGCGAACCTCTGTTGGCGGACCCAGGCGCGGAGCTGGACGTTGTCCTTCCACGAGAAGTCGCCGCGCAGGTTCTTGTTGCGGAACTCCTCGTACTTGCGCATCCACGCATCGGTGCGCCCCTTGGTCATGTAGTTCTTCACCCGCCGCCGCTTGCTGCTGCTGCTACTCGAGCCCTTGTCCGCCGCCCCGGCGGCACCCTGCTGCTCGTCGTCGTCAAAATCCTCGCCGCCACCCGAGCCCGAGCCGCCGTCGGCCTCGCCTCGATTCTTGCCGCCGCCGCCGGATAGGCTCTCCCGCCGCTTCTTGATGTAGCGATCGAGCCCGAGCTTCTCGCGGTCGGCGCCCTCGAGCGCCGCGACGGCGGTGCCCTCGCGCCGCCGCAGGGCTGCGGCCTCGGCCTCGGCCTCGGCGTCAGCCGCAGCCTCAAGGTCGCTTTCGTTCTCCGAGTCGCCGCCGCCGTCCTGGGAGGACGGGTGGTCCGCAGACATCGAATAGCGGCGCCCGCCGCCTCCCTTCTGGCCGCCGCCGCCGCCGCCGCCGGGCTTCTTGCTGCCGTTGCGCTGCGCCCACACGAAGCCGATCCCCTCCAACAAGACCTTCCTCTCCTCTGAGAGCTTGCCGTTGCGCCACAGGTACCTACACGCACGGCGGAGAAGAAAAGAAATGAGAAATTAGAAAAGAAATGGTGTTGTGTGTCGTGTCGAGCATGTCGTGAGGTGTGGTGCGGTGCGGTTTGGGAGCGTACCTCTGTCTTCGGATCCACGCGGACAGGGCCTTGTTCTTCCTCCCTTGACCTCGCAATGGCCGTTCTGGTCGTGGAATTCCTTGAGCTGGTCGAACTTGGCCTTCCACATCTGGTCCCGGTCGCCCTCCTTGTCGGCCTTCTCCCCTCGCAGGCGGCTCCCGAGGCCGTCCTGCTGGGCCAGGCCACCGCCAGCGCCACCGCCGGCGTTCACCGAACCCGGTTGTGTCGATACGTCGCCATTGCCACCGGCGCCGCCGGATGTGTGTAGCCCGGTGGTGGTCGCCATGTCGTCCTTCTCTTCGTCCTCGCGGCTGTCGTCGAGTCCACCGCCGCCGCCGCCGGCCTCCATCTCCTCCTCCCATTCGTCGCCGATCTCCTCCTCGGCGTAGATGCCGATGTCGTCGTCGGCCTCCCGGGCCTGCCCGCCATCACCACCACCGCGGTTCTCGCCGCCGCTTGTCGTCATGGTCTGCCCAAGGGCGAAGCTTTGCGCTCCTTTTTCGTCGACAGGGCGCCCACTGCCGGTGAATCCGTCGTTGTGGTCGTCGAGGTCCATCGCCTCGCCCTTGATGCCTGCTGCGCTCTCGGCCGGAGGGACGGTCGGGGTCGCGATCGCGGTCGCTGCGTCGTGCGGCTGCTGATGGTGATGAGCCAGCGACAGCGACTCCTCTGTTTCGTCCCGGCTGGTGTCGATCTCTTCCGAGTTGCCCTCGTTGAAGCAGAACAGGTCGAAGCTGCTATTCGCGAAAGCGCTCGGCTGCACGTCGCCCGACGGCGGTGGTGCCAATGGTAGTGCCTGTGCTCCCTCCGAACCGGTCGCGGCCGAGACGCCATCGATGGGCGCCGACCGCTCTGCCGTCGCCGCCGCCGGAGTGGTCCCAGCTTGGCTCGAGCTCGTGCCCGCTGCTGCCAAACGGCCGCCATGGGTGTGGGCAGCTGCGTCTGGAACTGGGCCGGTGGAAGTGGCGTCGAGCGCAGAGTCCACGCGCAGCTCCTCGTCGGCACGCAGCAGGCTCTCCTGCACCCGAGAGAGGTCGGTCGTGGTCATTGGCGGCAGCAGCGCCGACGGCGGGTCGACGAGCTTGAGCATGCCGAGCGAGGCCGCCGACGATGATCGGCGGATGATCGATGGGACCGAAAAATTGGGCGCCGGTGCCGACGGCGCTGGCGACAGTGTCGTTGCAATGGCGAGTTCTGCCGCCGTTGGTGGAGTGATGGTGGCCGGTTGTGTTGCGGTGGTGTCGGGCATGCGACTTTCCGACGCCGCGCTGCCCGCCGCCGTGCTGGCGGTGAGCGAAGGATCCTGCTGCAGGGTCCGCTCCGCCGTTCCCTCGTCGATCTGGGGTTGGCGCGATTGTGGAACAAGAAGAGAGAAAGATGTGAGCAAGATCTTGGAGGAGCGGCGTAAGGTTCACCGACAACGGTGGCGTGTTCGCGTTGCGAAGATGCTCGACAGCGATTTTGGTGAAGAGAAAAATTGGCCGTTTCCTAATTCAGAACGAGATGAGATTTGGGTCCGTTGGGATTGTGGCAGCGATTAACGGCCCGTTGCGAATGGGCCTGAGCTCTAATCGTTTCGAATTTCCCGCTATGCCATGCAAAAGGGATGAAAGCAAAAGAAACAACAAACAGTCAAGGCAAGCAAGAAAAAAATTGAACGATCCATGGGTATTTGGGATTGTTATGATGCACCAAATGTAAACGCAGAAGGTAATCGTGCCAGCCTTTGTCGCATGGGGTGCGTGTTTGAGATTCGCACACCAAGAATTGAATGCTGGCGTTCGTTTGAATTAATGATGTGAAATTTGGTGCCTCCAAGAAGGGAGACTACGTGGTGGCAGCGCAGGCGAGCGGCAGATGATGGAGCGAGGAAGGATCGTCGCTTTGATGGAGGATTGATGACGTGGAATGCAGTGGCCGCGTACCTCTAACGGTGACGTGAACACGGAATTGGCAGCCTCCATGTGTGGATCTGGTGGCGCCGCACCAGGCGGCATCGTCTCCATCTCCATATCTCTGGCCTTTACGCAAGTCTCTTCTACTGCTAGGCTCGCTCTCCCCCTCCTGTCTGCTCCTTCTTCGCAAGAAAGATGACGATTCGATCTCGCGCTGGCAACACAAACAAATCGGAGGAACAACAGAACAGCAAACGCTTTTCTCGCGCCCAGCCACGTCCAACGTTGGCCGTTGTCCGTTCCGTGCAAACCCCAACGCTCCAAGCGCCCAAACCCAACGCCGACTGAAGCGCCAAACAGAAAAATACGATTTGCTCAAACTTCCGGTTGGAAAGAAATAAAAAGAAAAGAAAATACATTTCTTGGGGCTAGTCGGGCGGGCGATTTTGCGATTGTTTCATCTTCACATCGAAAAAACAAAATGTCCACGGCGCGTTGGCAATGGCGGCTGGCCCAGAAGCGGGCGCACTACGAACTTCACTTCCTCAAATCGCTCAATTTCAGCTTCTGCCCTGCCAATAATCACCCCACCGTCGCGTAAGTCTCCCCCCCCCCAATCCGGCATTGGACTCGCGCTGGTGTTACCGCTGCTCCTTGCCTCGATTCTCGTCTTACCATCCGTGCCAATTAATAGCGAATTTCTGCGACGAGTCTCGAACGACAGAGCCCGGGCATCCAACCCCGATTGCGAAGTGACAGTGGAAGTCCTCGAGGACATCAAGGCACGACCTTCCATCAAGGCCGTCTACGGTGCGTCTTCCCTCGATGGCAGCTCCGCCTCCTTCGTCCCTTTTCCAACTGAACCTCTCCGCCATGCTCATCTTCCTGCGTGAGCAGAGAACGGCATGGAAGAAGTGCTGGACCACGAGCAGCGCGTGGAGCACCTCGTCGACGATTTCTGGAAGCGGGTGCGGCCCTCTCCTCGCGTTTCGTTCTCTGTCGTTGCCACAACGCTCCGTCGCTTGTCCCTTGCTTCTGCGTCTCGCGTGTTGTGTAGCGTTGCGTTGCGTGTGTTGGTGTCCACGATCTTGCGCCTGTCGTCCCGATCCCCTACGCACACGGGCTGCTCACTCTTTGTCGCGTGTGCTGCTGTGCGATCGTGCAGAGGGAGCGCCTGCAGTTCTTCTCCGAGCTGCAGTTCTCAATGAAGAACGAGGAGGAAGAGAACCCGTTCCTCAACGCCGCAGCCCAGGAGGTCTCCTCATCCCTCCTTCGCACACCTCCTCCGATTCAAACCGTGGTTCAGCCACCCACTCACGCGCTTATCTCTTCTCCGCGTTCCGTCGCAACAGGATGAAGCCAGAAAGAAGCAACAGCAGGCCAAGGGAGGAGCCAAGGGCAAGAAGTAAAGAGTTGTCTGAGGAGCATGTGCATTCAATAGAAACAGCAAACGAGGCCCTTCCGCTCTGCATTGTGTGTTGGGATTGAGGCATTTCGGCAACCAGGGACAGCCCGCAGGCTCATCTTAGCACAAGGAGTTCAGCCCGCGACACTTGCGAGCAACCAGGGGGCTGTGCATGTTAAGACGCTGCGCTTGTGGACACTCCGCAATTTCTTCGGTACACGACCCATGTAGACAACTTGTTGAAAGATTATATTTGTTGGCGTGAAGAGAGGGAGACAGGAAGAGAGGGAGCAACAAAGAGAGAGACAGCATCGTACCTGTAAGAGAGAAGAGAGCTTAGTAAATAATCTCGAAACGGAGATTCTTCAAAATTGCGATTTGTACAAAGGTTATCAGCTATATGCATTATTAATCAGATAGGATTTTCAGACGGCACTTCCTAATGCAAATGTCATCACAGAAACGGAGAACGCCAAGGCGAGTAGAGCTGAGTAAGATGGCGCACCTTAATGGCAGTTGAAGGAGGTCTGGCACGCTGGCAGACAGCACGGACACTACCGCCAACTGTCAGAAATAGAGGTTAGTAAGGAAACAACGGGTCGCTACAGAGTGAAATATGTGGGCCGAATCAGAAAGAAGTATTTTCATAACAGTCGAACAGACCATCAAGTATTAAGCCTTCTACGATCATCATTTTGCGCTGTAGCGAGCGTGCATAGAGGCGAGGAGTTACCTTGAGTGTGCAAGGCGAGAGGTGGATGAAGAGAGGCGGGTAGTGGAGAATGAAAAGAAACACGAGCAAAGCCAAGAAGAGCGCCTGCGGCGTTTGGCGATGTCTACACAAAATTGGCTTCCCGCTTTTTTCTCCCTGTCCATTCCAAGCATTCCGTTTTCTTTTTCTTCTTTTCTTTTATTCTTTAAAGCCCGGAAAAGGTAACACAGCCCGAGATTTCGATCAAAGCGCCCAGCGTATGGGGCAATAGAGGCCACCTCCGGTGCCCTCGCCAACAATACGAGGAGACGAGGGCGTGGCTGCCGATTGTTGTTCAATCCGCCCAGCATCAATCACGCATCGCCACCACACACGACACTCCCATTTGCCAGCTCAAGTTTTTCGCACGTCTCATCGCCAGCCCGCCCCATTCTACAGCCCGCCACAAAGCAGAAAGAAGAATCGACCATGAGGATCCTTGTGAAGACGTGCAGCGGCAAGACGATCGAGATGTTCGTCGAGAATCCCAAGATGAGCGTCATGGGCTTTAAGCGCCTCATTGCCGAGAAGGAATGCATCCCGCCTCAGCACCAGCGGCTGATATTCGTCGCAGAAGAGCTCGATAATGGAAAGACTCTCGAGGAGGTGGTGAGCGACAAGCTGCAGAAGGAAAAGGAGGAGATCAAGGACGCCGAACTCGGAGCCGGCGAGGTGGAGCTCACCTTCCATCTGATTGCCTCCCCACCTCAAGCCCCCTCTTCCTCCAGCAGCTCTTCTTCTTCCTCCTCCTCTACATCGACATCTCCCCCCTCCCTGATCAACATCACCAACAACACCGAGATCACCGGCAAGCGGAAACGAACGGCGGACGAGGCGACATCATCTCCCGTGAAGGCAAGCCCCTCACGCAAGCTCTCGAAGAAATGCGCCTTCGCCGGCTGCAGCAAGCGTTCGGTCGTCATCATCGGCGACTGCAAGTTCTGCCTCGAGAAGTTCTGCTCTTCCCATCGGCTCGTCGAGGACCACCTGTGCTCCGCCACCGCCTCCTGCAAGCAGGCCTCCTTCGACAAGAACGCCTCCAAGCTCCTCCGCGAGAAGTGCGTGGCTCAGAAGTTGCGGCAGTACTAGCCCCCCCTCCCCCTCTCCTACTCCTCCCGAAATCCCTCTGAGGATGAGGAAACGTGTACTTGTTCGGAAAGCTTCGGCTTTCTCCTTCCTCTTCTCTCGCTTTCTCTTCATCCTCTGCTGCACATACTGTAACCAACTTGTAACGAACGCGTATTCCACTCCACCTGCTGTAATAAACCCTCACCTCCTTTCTCAGCGCGTGGCTGTTCCTCCTCTTCATCTCTTTGCTTCCTCGCCTTGCTTTCTCCCCCTTCTATGCGCCAACGCAGAGAAGCGCAACTGCGAGCGTAAGGTGGATCCATCGTGTGGGAGCGAGAGTGTCTCGTAGTGTGTAGAGAATGAAGAGTTGAAGTGGTGGACGGTGGGAGTGGGTGCAAAGGTGGTTGTCTGCCGCCTCGGCCGGTGTGGTGAATGATGACGGTGATGATGATGATGGTGTGCCCTGTCCGCGCCGGCCTCGCCTAGTGAGTGGTGCGCATGAGGGTGCTGACAAAAGTCTCGATGGTCTCCTCCTCGTCCACGGTGAGGTCGGCAAAGTGCTTGGCCACTGCTCGGGCCAGCTCCTCCTTGTCGGCCGACTTGTTGCTCTTCGTGCGCAGGCCGTAGTGGCGCTGGTACTTCCTCAACGTGCCGATGTCCAGCTTGCCCAGGTCCACCACCTGCGAGCGCCCACCCCGCCATGGTCGTGAGTCGTCACCGTTGGTTCGTAGCGCAACAAACGAATAAGCAATACAAGAATAAAGAGCGAGGAGGAGATCTTGCGGAGAGACCACCAACACCAACAGCCGGAAGGGGAGACAGGATCAACAAATGGATGAATAATATATATAAAAAATAATAAATATATATAAAATAAAATCGATAAAGGCAAAGAACGGAGGTTGGAGGAGGGTGGTGCGCACGGATGAGTCGCTGCCCGCTGTGCGCCTTCGCTTGGAGTTCTTGGAAGATGAGGAAGAGGAGGAGGAGCCTCCGTTCTGGCTGTAGAGTTGTTGTTGGTAGCCGCCCTGGATGCTGCTCCTCCCCGTCGGCTGGGTCGCGGCCGCGGCCGCCGTGCTGGACCTCGTCCTCTTGCTGCTGCGCGTGCTCATCGCTTTTCACTTCACCAGGCTACCTATGTAGCCAAGAATGATCGGAATGCCATTTGGTGGACTCCAGACCGGAAAGTCATGGGGAGAAGGGCTGCTTTTTTCGCCTCAGGTGTTGGCTCGCCCCAAAAGGCTCAAACGTTTCACACCATGAAGGAGGAGGAGGAGAGGAAGCTTGAATCACCTGCTGTCGAGGTCGTAGGGTTGCCTGTGGGTCACGATAGCCACAATGTTCTGCTCGACCATGCCCAGCAGCTAATGATGGTGCCACTAGCCTCCCTCCAGGCAGATTTCCTTGAGGAGGTTGGTGGCTTCCTCCATCAGAGAGCTGTGCGGCGATACAGCACTCCTGGCCCATGGCGCATCTCCGTGCCCATTTCTCCGTTCTTGGCGCGGGCCACATTTGGATCAACGACTGAAATATGTCTTGATACGAACGATTCGGTGGCCGCGTACCTCGG